GCCGGCCCTCCCCCCCCCCCCCGTCTCTGACAGTGGCAACGGCTGTGGCTCCTAGCCGTCACCCCCACCGCTTCTCCACCCCCGCTGCCACCGCCAGCACCAACCACGGTGAGCACTGCGTGGCTCTGCCACAGTTCCCAGGGGTAAGTGCGTTCTCTGCGCATGTGCAGGGAATGCTTTTTTACTTTTGGGGGGATTTAAGTATCCCCCCTATAGTTTTTTTAACTTTTCAGATTTTTCTGCACACCTGGGGACTGCCCCAAGTGTGAAGGAAAATCTCTCTGCCCCCTATGTGCCCCCAATGTGTGGATTTAGATATCCGCACAGAGGAGGCAACTTGGCTATTAGATATATAGATAAGGAGCAGAGGTCTATCAGTGGCTATTAGCCACAAGGTACAGATGAAACACTCTGACTGGGGCAGTGATGCTCTGTATTCTTGGCGCCTGGAGGAGGCCACAGTGGGAGGGCTTCTGGAGTTCTAGCCCCGTTGGTGGACCTATTGATTACCCCTGGGTTTTGGCCACTGTGTGACACAGAGTGTTGAACTGGATGGGCCACTGGCCTGATGCAGCATGGCTTCTCTTATGTTCTTATGTTCAGGCAGTGGAGGATAAGACAACATTTGAGAAAACAATGAATTATGGGAGCTGAAGCAAGGAGGGATTAATGAAACATATTCCATAAAAGTTTAGGGCTGTCATGTCTTCACCTGACAAATCCTCTGGTGCTGGCTGGAAGAAAAAACTAAAAACCAAGAAGCAACTCCACAGAGCACCCTGAAAGCTGTAGGAATTTGGACCACTGGCCAAAGAGTTGAGCAGGCATAGCACTGGAAGAGCTACAGCCCCTTTGCACTTTTCAAAGACAGCAAAAGCAACGTTTTCTTTTATTTATCTATTTATTTAATTTATACCCCATCCTACCCCAAGAATGGGCTCTTGGTGGCTCACAACATAAAACCAATGAACACTAAAAACAATAAAACAACAAATAGCAGCAGCAGATGAAACCAAAACCCATGCCTCATAGAATAATTACCCTCAGAAATTCCAGTGCCCACGTAAAATCCAGAACAGCGAGGGCAGTGGGAAAGGGGTCATGGACAGGGCTATGGGCGGGGGGGGGGGAGAAGGGCTGAAGGGCCGAGGCTTAAAAAAATCATGGACAGGGCTATGGGCGGGGGGGGGTGAGAATGGCTGAACGGCCGAGGCTTCAACCAAAGGCCTGGTAGAACAGCTCTTGCTACAACACTCTTGCTATAACTCTCTTGCCAATGAGAAAAACACACCAATGAGAAAAACCATAACCAGTGAAAAGACATTTTTATCTCCTGTCAGTTCAGTGGCTGTCTGGAAAAGATCTGGAAACCCTAAGGAAAC